ATATATATATATATATATATATATATATATATATATATATATATATATATATATATATATATATATATATATATATATATATATATATATATATATATATATATATATATATATATATATATATATATATATATATGGAGGATGTGATACATTAGCATGTATTTGTTTAATGCAAAACATTTTATTTCATTTTGTTGCATTAACTCTGTTACATTTATAAACAAATAATAAATGAATTTATATCCAAAGTTAAAAAAATAAAATTGAAAGAAATATGTTTTAGGAATTCTTATGCTAAATAAAAAGTAGAATAAGTGCACATTATCTTCGTAAAGTTTAATTAAGTTACCTCATCTCCATCAACTATGAATCTTGATAAACAAATTTGTTCGACCAATCATACCTGTTGTTGATTAATAATTAGTACATTATTTTTTTATTTATTTTTATCTTATTCAATATTGTTTCCTCTATGAAATATTTCAAAAATGTTGATTTTCAGGTTTTAGTCTTGGCTTTCTGGCGTTGATAATTGGCATTATTTGTATATACTCCACCATCCAGAAGAGGAGACTCCACAAACTAAGAGAGAAGTTTTTCTACCAAAATGGTGGTTTGTTATTACAGCAACAACTTTCTTCTAACGAAGACAGTAGTACACAATCAGCTAAAGTATTTTATGCCGAAGAGCTTGAGAAGGCCACCAACAACTATTCCGAAGATCGCATCCTTGGCCGAGGAGGTTATGGAACAGTTTACAAAGGGATTTTGAGCGATCATCGTGTTGTTGCAATCAAGAAATCGATAAAAATGGATGATGATCAAATAGAACTATTCGTCAATGAGGTGGTAATCTTAACTCAGATTAACCACAGAAATGTGGTCAAACTAATGGGATGTTGTTTGGAAACTGAAGTACCTTTGTTAGTATATGAATACATCTCAAACAATACCCTATATTACCATATCCACAACAATGGGGAAAGGCCGTGGTTTTCTTGGGAAAATCGGTTGAGGATTGCCTCAGAGGCTGCGGGTGCGCTTGCATATCTTCATTCTTCAGCATCAATGCCGATTATCCATAGAGATGTTAAGTCTATGAATATATTGTTGGATGAGTATTACACTGCCAAAATAGCTGATTTTGGAGCTTCAAGACTTGTCCCTATTGATCGAACACAAATAACCACTCTTGTACAGGGAACTTTGGGTTATCTTGACCCAGAGTACTTCCACACGAGCCAGTTGAGAGAGAAAAGCGACGTATATAGCTTTGGGGTGGTCTTGGCTGAGCTTCTCACAGGTCGGAAACCTCTGTCTCCAGACAAGAGCAAAGAAGAGATGAACCTAGCTAGTTACTTTGTTTCGTTGGTTAAGGAAAATCGGTTGTACCAAATTATCGAGCCAAGAATTTTGAGAGAGGGGAGTTTGGAGCAAATCAGTGCAATGGGTGAGCTTGTTAAGAGATGTGTCGAGATGAAAGGTGATGAAAGGCCGACTATGAAAGAAGTGACAATGGAATTGGAGAGGTTAAGAAAGTATAACATTGCGCATTCACACACTCAAGAAGAGATAAAAACACTTAATGGAGGCATGAGATTAACTAGTGAGCAGCAACCTGATCTATATCCGGTTCCAGTTAATCCCGATTTAAGCTCTGGCGAATACTCTGGGCAGTACAGTACAGAGAGTCGGTTGTTCCATGCAAACAATAGCCCTCGTTAAAACGGAAGTAACAAAGATGTTCTTCAGTTTCTTTGTGTCTTTTTTTTTTCCTTTGATCGAAATAAACTTCATTACATAAACTCTTTTTTTTATAAACTGGTTGCATATTAAGGCATTGAAGTGTAGAATTTGTAGTGAAATATATATATATGAAAATCGCAGCATATATATGCATGGTTCGCATGTAATCATACGATTTACGATTCAGATCATACGATTTTTGCGATTTCAGAACATTAACTATTTTTTCAGATTATAAGTTCAAAAATTTGGGAAAAAAAATTGGACTTCCGCTACAAATTAAATGCGTACATTTACTAAAAGTGACGAACTGCTCGATGTAAATAATATTATTAACATTTGATGAATGATGATAGACGTTAGTACTCTTATAACACAAATACATTTCATTTTTCTTTCCGAAACGATTTTTAATCCAGCTAACAGGTCGGATATAAAGACTTTAAACATGTTGTGTATTTCCAGAAATCACCAAGAAAAACTTTAAATTTAATTTAGATGGCGAAACTTGAAATTTAAATGCAGCAGAGTGTACCTTGACGAAGAGCCCGACAACTCCGAGATGGCACTAACGGAGATTAAAGTCAGTTAATTATTTCGTAAAACATTTTCTTGCAAGCTATACTGAACTCCATCCCGCCGTTTTTTTCACCCCTCTATCTTTCATCATCTTCCTCACTTGTTCCACATTTTCCCACATCTCCATCGAGCTGTAAAAATCTGACATCAATATATAATACCCATCGTTTTCCGGGTCGGCTTCAATAGCTCGTTTTGCTATCTTCAAACCCATCTCAGCATTATTGTGCATTTTGCAAGCAGTTAATAAAGAACCCCATATTCCCCCATCTGGCACAAACGGCATCGACAAAATAAGAGCCTCAGCCTTATCCAAACCACCCGATTTTCCGTAAAGATCCACCATACAAGCATAGTGCTTTAAACTAGGTACGAGGGAATATTCTTTCATTCTAACGAATAGAGATTCGGCTTCGTTGACCAATCCTGCATGAGCACAAGCTGAGAGGAGCGCGAGAAATGTAAGTTCGTTCGGGAATATTCTCTCGTTACATCTTTCCATTTTTTCGAAAACTTGAATGGCCGATTTCCCATCTCCGTGCATCCCGTAACAAGAAATCATCACGTTCCAAGATATAACATCTTTTTCCTCCGTCGAGTCGAAGATTTCTTTCGCCGTTTCGATTTGTCCGCATTTTGCGTACATATCGACCAACGATGTGGCGACAGAAACTTCGTATTTAATTCCCTCTTCGATAATGTAATTATGAATTTTTCTTCCGTTTTCCAGAGATGCAATATGAGTACACGCAGATAGCAAAGATAACAGCGTAGCTGTGTTGGCCTTCACTCCTTGTGAAATCATTTTATCGAAAAGATTTAAAGCGTCGAGATATTCTCCGTTGTCGTTATAAGATGAAATAAGAGAATTCCATGTAGCAATGTCCGGTTTTGTATTATAAAATAACCTCTGCGCTACAGTCAAACTCCTACATTTCCCGTACATACTTATAAGCGAGTTAGCGACCGACACATTCTGAAGCATCAAATTTCTTACAACATGGCAATGTATGGATCGACCGCAACGGATTTCTCTCAATCTCGCGCACGAAGAAATCGCAGATACTGTGCTGTTCGAATTCGATTCAAATCCTCGATGCTGCATTTCTCCGAACATCTTTACGCAGTTCATATCCAACCCAAACTTACAATACATCGACAGTAATGAATTACATACAAGCCGATCAAGATCATATTTTCTCCTTACGATAAAACCATGAAACTCCTTTCCTGCGGAGACTTTCGAGGAGTTAGCAAAACCGGAAATCAAACAGCTAATCACCATCCCATCTGGATATATCCCGTTATCCAGCATTCTTGAAAACATACGAAAGCATTCGTAAATGCACCCCAGCCTCGAATAAACGCCAATAATCGAAGTCCACGATAAAAGATCCTTATTCACGACTTCGGAAAACGAAACTCGCGAATCCTCAATGCTTCCACACTTTGAATACATAGACAAAATGGCAGATTGAACGATACGTGACGACACAGTTCCGAATTTAAGAGCCAACCCGTGCAGGCACCTACCTTCTACCAAAGCACCCAAATCCCCACAAGCTTGAAACCCGCCTTCTAATGTTCTTGAATTCGGCCTCTCACCGTAACCCCCAACGTGATGCATCTTACAAAGACACTGCAAAGCCTGCTCACTCTCGCCATTTTGCACGTACCCAATCACGAGCGCCGTCCAAGCAACGACATCTCTCACAGGCATTTCATCAAACACATGACAAGCATCCTCCACATCCCCACATTTTGAATACATATACACGAATGAAGCCCCAACAGCAGAGTTCCCATGAAAAAGATTCAATTTCGAGACCAGACAATGAATTTGCAAGCCGATACAAACCGACCCAAGTTCGGCGCAGGCGGAAACAACCATCGGAATCGTAAACTGATTCGGCAAAGCGCCGAAAACCCGCATCTCGGAGAAGAAATCCACGGCTTCCGCATAGTTCCCATTTGAGAAATGGGCTTTGATGATGGAGTTCCAGAGAAAAGTGTCCTTGACAGCGAGGAAATCGAAGACTCGGGTGGCGGAATCGAGCTGGTTAAGTGCGGCGTAAGATGCTATCAGCTTTGAAGCCAGGAATCTATTGTGCGCATGGCCAGTTGTTATGATGTAGGCATGCGTGGAGAGAAGAGTTGTCCTGGATTCTTCGAAGCCATTGTTGTTAGAGAGGAAAGATTCGATGTGCTTGTTGAGGTAACTAGATTCTGAATCGGCAGCAATTGAAGAACAATATGAGCGGAGGCGTCTGCGGTGGAGCTTTGGGAATTTGAATGCAAGCATGAGTTTTTTTTGCGGGAAGATGTAGTTCAAACGATGGAGGAGAAATGTGAAGATTGGAGAATTCAGTTTTCCTTTCCTCAAATTGCGCCGCTGACCGGTGGCTATCGCCGCCGGCGTCGACCTGCTGAAAATTTAACAGGGGAATAGAGCATCTGATTTTAAATTTTAATTTCACAAATGTTTTTAGTTTTCTCCGCTAGAGCAAATTTTGTTTGTACTTCTCATAATTATTTTAAGTTAAAGGGTAAAATTATGGGTGAAAATCGGAATGGAATTTCCGAATTTGGTCAATTCTGATCCGAACAAATTTGAATTCGTAACCGTTTATTACATTTCAAATTTCAAAGTTTCGATTTTTGATTGGAAGGGAATTGGAATGATATATGAAATGACCGGAAACTCCGACTTCCGATCTAATTTTAGTTCCGAATATTTTCATGATTTTTCGAAATGTATATTATAATTTTATTATATATTTTGTAATTCAATAATATAACTTAAATTTTATTTTATATGAAAAATATAAATATTGAAGAATCAAGAAAATTAAAAACTTAGAAAATATTAATTGGTATCAGAACATTTTTCCTTATAAGAAAATTTAATTTTCAATTTGTTGTTCCTATATGTGTCTTTATTTATTTCGTTTTGGAATTTCTCGAAAAATAAATACAAAATACAATTCAATTAATTGAGGAATCCCGCCAATTTATTTAGACCGTTCCCAAGATCTCTGTATACAACAAACTACAGCCCGTGAACGAGAAAGAACTCGGGAGAAAGAACTCGAGAGAAATCACAGTTAATGAGAATTATTAATTACTGAAAGAATCTATTTTTTTGAACTTTGAAACTTAATAGGGGAGATGATGATAGTACTGCTACTATTTATGGAAATTGAATTCAAAAGATCACTGAAAATAATTGGAAGCAACAATAGAGATGACACAATTTGTGCTGTGAATGTCAGTCAATCTGTTGTAGTTTTGGTCTCTATATTGACCTATTTTGGGGATTTAGTCATGTAACTTTCTTACAATTTTACATGCAACAGTTTCACAGCCATAGTTTATATTTGGTCCTATTTTTCATGAATTTAATTTTATGACAGGACAAATATGGTATTTGGGTCGTTTTTGCAATATTTGCGACACCGTCCCCTTTAGATTAGAGAATTCAAATTTTTGAAATATCGTCGTCGACTGGTGGTTAACCACCAGAGTCAACCTGCGGAAAATTTAACAAGGGATTAGAGCAACTGATTTTAAATTTAAATTTCACGAAAGTTTTTAAATTTTTCTTTCTTTATTTATCAAAACTCCCCAAAACTAAAATTCAGAGCCTATTCTGATTATAGGCGAGAAAGCCGCTCCCCTCGGGCTCCCAATTTTTAGAAAAAATCGGGGGGCCCAAATAATATTTTTGTACTCTTTATATACACTAATCATAGAATTAAATGATATTTACAATATTATAAATAATTCAACACTTTGAATGAGAGCAACTCCAGTGGAGGAACTAAATGGGGTATCAAACTAAAAAACTACCACTTTGATGCTCCAAAATTATAAAATCCTCCTCCAATGGAGGCATTAAAGGGAGAACTATTTTGATATTCAACCACCCCGAGGTGCAAAAATACTCCCTGGAAAATGAGGTATCAAAAATGTAACCACTCTATTAACCTATCACAATTTGCCACGTGGCATTTAATAATATAATTATTCATATATTTAAAATTTGATAATCTATTTGATACTTGTGGTTGGAGTGAATTTTTTTTTTCTAGAAGTATCAAAGTATTATATCAAGTATCAAATGAATATTTAATGCTCCATTTTGATGTATCTCCATTGGAGTTGCTCTGACCACAACTATATTATTTTACATAGTTTAAGTATATGTTGGAAAATTTTACACTTATTCTTGCATTTGTCAAACGTCTTAGATCAATTAAAATTAGTTAGATATTGAGTTTAATAAACTACACTGCATATCTCTAACATCAAAGATTTTCGACAAATTGAATATACTATATTTTATTTTATTATATTTAACTAATGTTACATATATTTCACTTTTTCAATAATATTTTTATAACTATTTTCAAAAAAACTTCACGGTTCTGTCTCGAACACCGCAAACTTTTAATTTACCTTAACTTCGTTAATATTTTAGTCATATTTTCTCCAAAAACTCTTAACTGCTAATAAAAGAAAATCTTGTTCAGTTGTATTCGTTAGAATGAATTTGTGTGTACATTAAACATCAGCAAATAGGGGCCCATTTTTACAAATTCTTAAAACTCGCCTAGAGTCCCCAATTTCTCATGAACGACCATCAACTAAATACGCATGCAAAATTATAGAAATATATTTGTTTCTCCATTTCTTATTTACCTTTCCATTTGAATTTTTTTTTATAAATCTTTAACCTCTCGAAATTCCATCTCCTTTGAATGTCATTCTTATTGGAAAACAAAATGCATAACGTTCAGCGTAATTTAAAAATAAATTATATAATATAGTTTCTATAAATTTAAATTCATCAATTAGCACAATCAATTATGATGTTTAATTGGGTCAGCCCAATAAGTTTACAATTACTCTATTTATCGGGCCACGAGTCTGAATCAGAAGAATTATTATGAAAGCCCAATCACTTTCAAATAAGGTTTGGTCCAACAAATAACTTCAGCCCAATCGACAATGTATAAATAACGATGTAATTTATTTATTAAATGTACGCCCTATTATCTGAGAAATATTGCAATTCGTATTCTATCAACTATTTCTACTATCCGCACGTCTCACTTGAGCGTCGGAAGGGTTTCCGCCGGGTCAACCCCCAGCCTAGTTCACGTGTTCTCTGTTCACAGGTATCTCAAGGTCATCTAGCACGTGAGCAGTGATCCACTTTGCTCTCCCAACTTCTTTTATCTCAAATACTGAAGGTGATCTAATTGTAGCATCATCATAATGGCGACGTCTGTGGGAAGGCATACAAGACCAAATAGCGCGCATGATGTCCATGAGTCATCTACTCGTAGAGAACGTGACATTGCTAACAATCTCCCATCTCGCGGAGGCTCTAGCTTGGCACTTCCTCCTCGTAATCAGGATCCACCTTGTGATGTCGAGATAAAATCCCCCGCATGATCCATCACTCCCCGCTCCTCGAACAATTCAGATAACCTAAGAGGACCTCTAACACATGATTGCGGAGGCTTCAGCTCGTGCTGGCACTGAAGTAGTGGCACAATACATTGCCACAGCGGGAGTCAACGCTCCACTTGAAGCTCCACCCGTGGCACTACGACCTCCACCGCCATCGGATAACGCATCCACCTCAGACTATAGGTCTCGGATGCAATAATCTACTCATCGCCATGATGCGTGAACTAGGCAACAAGACCCACGTTCATCTCCAAGAGGCAACGCCTCTCGCCAACGAGATCCTCCACAGAATGGTGGAGATGATAAAATTAACAGTCGGGTATCTCGCTGGAACCACATTCCGCATATAGGTAGTCCTATTGGCAGAAGGGCAATACCTCCAATAAGGCGCACTCCCTTCACTCTCGCAATACTCAATGAGATACTACCCCAACGGGTAAAGATCTCGAGTCTGCCACAGTTCGATGGAACTAGTAACCCACATGAACACCTTGAAAAGTTCTATGCCATGGCAGATCTATATGGCCCAACTAATGAGGCGATGTTCAAGATGTTTAGCGCAACGCTCTCTGAACGAGCATTGAGTTGGTTCAACTATTTGCCCACTGGGTCAATTGAAGCTCTCTCCCAACTGACGGATCGCTTCACCAACCATTTCGCTATCAACAAAGAGTACGGTAAGACTCCTGCGTACCTCTTCACTATCACCCAGAGAGAGGGCGAAACCCTCCGCAACTACATTCAACGATTTGTAGAGGCAGGTCACAAAGTTCCTAATGTGGGAGGAAGCACGCTCTCTAGAATCATTCCACAAAACTTGAAGTAAGATAGATTCAAGGAATCTATCGCAGGAAGACCTCCAGCCACTCTAGAGGAGTTATTAAGTTGCGCCGGGAAACACGTGCGCATCGAAGAAGCTTCAACCCTCGCTCCTCCCAAGAGATGAAGATCACTTCGACACCCGAGAACGAGATGAGCGACGAAAATCGTGGACATCTCATAGACAATCTCTTTCTACGTCCCTGAACTTCCAATGATGTCAATGACACTTGAAGCCTCTCGAGCCCATAACATAGTTAGTGATTGCATCCTCCTAAACTGAGGGACTATCATACCCTAAGGATGATGCATCCCCTCACCTCTCTACATCAGTTGGACGAAACACATACATCATCTACTTAGTATAAGTTTAGTTATTTCGAGTGATTCGCTCCCCACATGTTTATCTCCCTTCGCCTCAAGTAGGCTTGTAACATTCACATTTTCAATCAATGAATAACGCAGGTTATTTACCTTACTATCGGAGTTATTGCTCTTTCACTACACAATTATCTGCACAAGACAACATTAACCCTAAGAACATTTAGAGATGTTAAGATGATCTATATAGCCTGGCCAGCTTGATTTCTAAAGTTCTCTATCTGTCTTCATTGGGTCCTATATTTAAAACGTGGCGACGGTCCTAACATACTTACGACCCATGAGGTCTAACAAGAGGCACAATCCCCATCAAAAAATCACGAGACTGATCCCCTCATCAAGTACATAACGCACAATGCTAAATGTAAACACATACAAGCAACGCGTCAAACCAATGACAATGTCATACAATATAAACATCAAATGAAATAGCAACGGGCAAACCAATATACTCCAAGTATGAAGACAAAATGAATAACCTACAATTTTGCGGGCCACGTGCCTTTCCAAAACCAAAAAAAAAATCGCGCGCACCACTGCAAAGTAAGCGTGTGGCGTCTCATGCGCACATCGTTATTGTGCATCCCCTCTCTCTCTCTCTCCGCACGTGCAGCGTACGCACCC